AAAAAAAAAAAAAAAAAAAACAAAAAAAAGCAAAAAAAGGCACAATCGAGCGGCTTAAATGAAGGGAATTCGAGACAGAACTCAAAATCTCACTTCTCCTGCCCACCAATACTACTAAACAAACAGGCTACTTTCAGTCATTAGACCGGAGACCTCTCCAGATCTGCTACACAACCAAGGGGTGCTATTGCTCTAAACAACACCCGTTTTCCTGTATTATGTACAAAAACTGTAGTTATATTGTGGTAAACTGAATCGAAGATTTAGTCGATGAAATGCTAACATTTTTAGTCTTTTTTTTAAAGAAAAATTTCAGCCTCGCATCTTATCCAGTAAGCGAAATGGCCATTTCGTTACAAATATCTTTGAAGTGCCCTAAGTGCGCGAAAATTTCCAGCACAATGAGCTCGAAAAAAAGCATTCTTTCGATGGATGGAAAAACCACAACTAACTAACCTTTACGTGTAACATGCTCGTTATAAAAACGTTCAGTTGCTGCAGATAAAATCTCATCTTTACTGGTGGGAAAGCTGCACGATTCTGGGATTATCGATGGCGCATGAGCAGCAGCAGCTTCATTACTTCGAGCTAAAAATAATAAAAAATGATCGCATTTTATGAATTTTTTTTCGATATGACTCAAATATCAGTTGTTAGTAGAAGCAGTAAAGTGATATCAATTATGACATATACATACCAAGAATATCAAGCCCGCCCAGGCTGTCTTCTGGTACTAGAATGCCCCCACGTGTCTTTTTTTTAATACAAAAATTTAAAAAAAAAAATAAAAAAGTGCTAGATCCTCCAATCCTAAGCTAAATAATATACATTAAAATATAAAATTCTATTAAAAAAAAAATTAAAAGAGGCGTAAAGTTATATTAAAAAATTATATTAAAAAACGTGAAATTATATTAATAAATTAGATGATCAGGAATATTTCGGTCCATTAAGTTGAATACGAATGTCCCAAGGCAAACCGCACCAGTTTTTCGCACTTTTATGATTTTAGTTTTAATCGTTCCCTTTTAATCTTCCTTTTCATTGGATCCATCATAAAATTTTCAC